GTGGGCAAACAGGGAAACATCGAGAATCACAAATGTTTCCGCAACAATGTTTCCTAGTTTGCCCAGGGCTTGGTGGCATCTCGTGGGCCCCCCAAAGCAAAATCTCACGGATGTTTTTCCCAAAGTTGGCAACTATGATAGGGTATAGTATGATTAAATGTGGCTTCACTTTATAAGAACTTTAAATTACGAATGTGCCTTTTGTTATTGCATGTGGGGGGGGGGGGGGTATAATTAATTGTGTTATTTTTCACCCTGCTCGGTTTCCTTTGTTCTTATCGGTGAATATATTCAATATTCCCCTTTACTCAATTTCCGTTTAATAATCCCCTCTAATATTCACCTGCAATTAATAATCCCCTCTAATATTCACCTTCAATGTCTTTGCAGCACAAAAAATGAGAAAAAACCAACATAACCAAGGCAATATGGCATTAAGAATTATTTCTATTCTGATCATTAACGCGACCTCGGGGATATGTGTTTATTCACCTCGGCGCTGCGCGCCTTGGTGAATAAATCACATATCCCCTCGTTGCCTCAAAATAACCTATACTTATCCTCAAGAGGGGGGGGGGGCAACAAAATTTTAACATCTAATTTTTTTAATTCCACCAGCCCCCCTGTAATTAGTGACCGCTCCCTTATTATGGTGTAATATTTCTAACTAGAAATATAGTTTACACTAAAACTGCCCCCGGCTGATTATGGTGTACTAACTACAATCCTGGACAAAATATATGGCAAAAATGTCATTCTATTACCCTCCCCCCAATATCAATGCTGTTTGTGGCAATACACTTGTTTTTCCCTGAAGATTTAACAGAAAATAGCAACATTGATATAGGGGGAGGGACGAACGTGCCTAAGATTTGATATAAAGTAGGCATCTGCCTATATGACGGAAAATAAGACAGAACAAGAAAGAATAAGATTAAATAAGTTTTGCCAAACTATTTTGTCCAAGATTGTACAGTATTTTTCTTATTAGCCAGCGACGTCGGAAAATGTTCAAACAATTCCACCAATGACACTCGTGCATGCGGTATGTTGATGTGCGGTTAAGATTAAGTATTATGACGCAAGAAATGAACAATTGTAATTCTGCATTGTATTTAAATAAAAATTTGGACGCGAACAATAGATTATTTAAAATTTTTAAGGAGGTTTTACTGTACATATTCTAAGGTGTTGTCGTTGTTTTGAACTTGGACCTTCATTATGAACGTGCATGCATAAATCTAAGTTAATGTTATTTACGTCATCGCCACACGGGGACATCGCGCGTGTGAACGCATGGTTTTTCAGAGACAAAACAAAATATGCTTTTGAGATTTATTAGCGAAGTTGTAAGCCAATAAATCAATCATTGTTGTTAACATTGATCATTGTTGTTAACATTGCATTCTTGTCAAGCCGCCGTCTAAAACAGCTGGTCCTTCGTCCCGGATTAAGAACTACTTTGAAATGCCAGTAGAAGTGGAAATTATCGAGAAACTTCGATCGAAGAAAAAAGTCGCCAAGTCAGCCATTACAAGGAATGTAAATCGCGTTAGGGAGCTAATAAATAACAAAGAAAGCGTTTCTAAGGTACGTCAGTATGCTAAAAATATTGAAGAAGCTAGAGAAAAGTTTCGGATTGTAATAAACGAACTTGAACAAGCCGATCCATCGTCTATTGTAGCCGATGGCGAATGGCTTGTAGAGGTCGAGTGTGATGTGACTGATGCCCTAGGGGAAGTAGCTGATTATTTGCAAGAATCAAGCCAAACAGAGCCCCAAAACCCCTCGATAAGTAACGAAGAACAGTCGTCTAGTGAAAATTCTACAGTTATAGCAGGGAACAGTCGTTCTAGTTGTCTTAAAGGGGAAAAGATTGCAGTGTTTGATGGAAGTCCAGAAAAATGGCCATATTTTTGTGGTATATTCAGTTGTGTACAATAATAAGTCTCTTTCTGATGCGATAAAACTAGCACATTTGAACAATTCTATCAACGATAGAGTGAGAGAAGTTATTGCCTGTTTGACCGGGGAACCGGGTGACTACCAGAAAGCAGTTAAGTTACTTAGTGATAGATATGGGGACCCCGTGAAGTTGTAGATGCACATTTGCACGCATTATCAATTGGCATAATATTAAGGAAAAGGATCACGATGCATTTGAGCGATTTGCTGACGCCTTACAAGCAGCAGTATTTGCTTTAGATAAGCCAGATTATAGACATGAGTTAAGTAGCATGCCTCTTTGCACTCAGTTCGCAAGCTACCGCCCAGTGAGAAAGATGAGTGGGTGCGGCAAGTAGAGCGCAAACAAGTCGCTGAAAATGTTAAGGGATTAGCAGAGTATGCCCAATTGAGAGTAAAGTCATTGCGCAAGCGTGATCGATATAACACACCTGCACCACCCAAAGAAGACCCAAAGTTTAACCCAAAATTTGCACATAAGAGAGCCTATCCAGCAAAAGCACAGGCTGGGAAATGTTCTTTATGCGATGGTACTGAAAAGCATAAAGAGGGGGATTGCCCAGTGTTTCTAGCCGCTGACCCTAACCAAAGATGGGCACTATTTAAGTCAAAAAACGTGTGTTTTGGGTGCTTACAATTAGGACATCAGCGCCGCCACTGCACTGTTTCATCTAAGTGCGGAGTCAATTCATGCGAAAAGGGGCATCACAAGTGGCGATGAAGCCTCTGAGCCTAAGGGGGTTGACTGTGGCAAAGCACAAGTTTCATCCTCAGGCTCTAGTAGAGTTGCCCTAAAAACTGCCATAGTACCCTTTGTTAAGGATTCAGGGGGGTTAGTCTTGGGAACTGTTCTTTTAGATTCTGGTAGTGAAACAACTCTCATTAGGTCTGGATTTGCCAAACAATTAGGGGTTCAAGGTCAAAGGCAAAATCTCACTGTTGATACTGTTGGAGGAGTGCGGACCACCCTCAAATCTCAGCGTGTTTGTGTCCCATTTCCACCAGCGGTCACTGATATTGGTGTTTATGCATGGACTATGAAAAACATATGCGAACCGCTGCAGTTGGTCGATTGGTCGGAGATAAAGAAACAATATGAACATTTGCATGATGTTCCAGTCATGTCGGTAGGAGAAACAGCAGTGAATGTGTTGTTAGGACTTGATGCATCATCCTTGATGGCGCCATTGGAAGTGAGACCGGGCAAGCATGGTGAGCCATGTGCAGAGTTGACCCCACTTGGTTGGGTCATTTCGGGTCCAGTGCCAACTACTACCAAACCAATGAAACGTATCTTACGTGTCCATGTGGTAGATGGTGAGGAAGATGCCAATCACCAATTGCGAAAGTTATGGGAGATAGACAGTTTCGGTGTTCTTGTCGAGGCAAGCACATCATACACGCGTAGTGAACAGCGAGCTGTTGATATAATGAATGAAACATGTCGTCGAGTGGAGTTGGGTTATGAGCTGGGACTGCTATGGAAAGCGGACAGACCGCTACTGCCTAACAATTTCAAGTCAGCACTTAGCCGCCTGGAGTCGGTGGAACGCCGTTTGCAGAAGGATCCCAAGTTAGCGGACGGTTATTGCAAAGCCATCAATGCATACGTGGAGAAAGGTTTTGCACGAAAGTTGTTGCCTGAGGAATTTGCTACGGACGGAGAGCAATGGCTACTGCCACATCACCCCGTAATCAATTCGCACAAACCACTGCCAAGAGTTGTTTTCGATTCCGCTGCCAAACACGACGGTGTTTGTCTCAACGACTGCCTTGAGACGGGGCCAAGTCTTCACAATGATCTTTCGGGCATTCTGTTACGATTTCGTGAAAGGCCCATCGCACTTGTGGGAGACGTATCAGATATGTTTTGCCATGTTCTCGTCAAGGAGGAGAACCACAAGTATCACCGTTACTTGTGGCGTGACATGGATTCAACAAGACCGCCAGACGTTTATGAAATGAACTGTTTGGTATTTGGTGACAAGTCCTCACCCTGTGAAGCGAATTTCGCAGTTATCCGTACGACGGAAGACAACCAGGATCAATGGCCAGAAGCCGCAGTCAGGCGAGATATCTTCGTGCACGACTTCTACAGTTCCTGCAATGATGTGCCGCAGGCAGTTTCCTTGAGAGCTGATGTCTCATCCCTGATGGTTAAGGGTGGTTTTCCTATGCGAAAGTGGCTATCCTCTTCACCGGAAGTGCTGGCAACGATACCGGAAACCGAGTATCTCGAATGAAAACTTACAGCAAGGTGAGTTGGGAGTTCGGTGGGATGCACGATCAGACACTCTAGGACTCACTTATGCACATGTTGAACGTCCATCCACCCAGTCGACCAAACGCGGTATTCTAGCCAAATTAGCTGGTCTATATGATCCACTGGGATGGTCGAGTCCATTTACAGTACGTGCAAAAATCACCCTGCAACGCACATGGTCCAGAGGACTAGATTGGGATGAACCCTTATCAGCCGACATTGCATCTGAATGGGTTAAGTGGGAATCCGAGGTCGCAGCTCTAAAGGCTTTCGCAGTACCACGGTACATTTACAGTCTGTCATCAGAAACATTGACGAGAGAGCTTGTGGTTTTCTGTGACGCCTCGGAAGATGCCTGCGCAGCTGTCGCCCACATGAGTGCAGTACTCGTGGACGGTGAAGTCATATTGTAAACAATTATACTGAACTGATTTTTAATCATTTTTGGGGAAATTTTTAGTCATGCACTGCATGACCTGCATGACCGCTGGCTTCGCCACTGGATATTGGTCGAAAAATACATGTGGGCGATGTAGTACTCGTAAGTGAGGATAATGTTCCAAGAGGACAATGGCAGAAAGCCCGTGTTGAGGCAACGCAAGAAGGAAGAGATGGTCTGATCCGATGCTTTGCCACCAGGCCGCCATACCCGTCGTCCTGTACAATAGATCACATGTGTTAGAAACTTGTGATGCTGACAAAATAGCAGGACTAAAGTAACATTGAACAATAAGCTAGTTTGTTGACATTTGTTAGTTTCTTAGTTAATGAAACTAAATGCACTCCCTGCATCGGGCAGAAGGATGTTCCAAAGTAGAGATTGATTGGCTCGGACTTCCCGAATATGTACACCCAGAAAGTTGATACAAAAGGCAAATAGTGCCTTTGCACCCGTGGTTTTGGCATCCCAGACGTTTTTCCGGTTTATCCACGTAAATTATTTCGTTACAATCAGAGACGGATTTTCATATTTTCGTTCGGGGGTGTGGATAAATATATGGGGGGTGCTGCTGCTTGCTTTGGCCGGGGCGTGGTGGCAACGCCCGGATAGGCCAAGGAAAAAGTTTAACAAAATTTGTTTTCTAGGCCTGCATGGCGAGATCTGAGACCATAATATTGGTAATTTTACAAATTTAGTAGTAAGAATAATCAAATATGAAACTATCAAATCAAAATATATGTAATTTGCGGGGTGCCAAATGCCTTTGGGGGGATGCAAATAATTTCTGGAGCCCCCCCCCCCCCCCCCAAGAAAGTCCGTGCCTGGTTACAATATTCATTGTTTGAAGTATGTTAATTAACTTGTTATACTACCACAGCAAAGTGTTAAACTTTATTTTTCTTCACACGCGGTCGCTGCTGACGTGACAAAAGATTTATTCGACATCATCAATATTTTCGCATGCGTGAAGTTTATCATGCATGTTCATTGTGCTTCTCGCGCTTAGAGGAGGAGGGTTTAAAGTTTTGCTTAAATCTCCTAAATCCTAATGAAAGTTGCAATAAAGATTAAACCGTTCGATAAATCTTATATCGCGGTAAGTTAAGGCAAAAGCCATTTGTTGCGGGACTCTTCTATTTATTACTCCTCTGCACTAAGAGGATAACATGTTGTCTTTAATATTGAAATTGCAAAACGTTGAACGTTTTTACATCGGAACGTCATCGACCAGTCAATGAGATTATTGGCTTATGAAGCTCTTCATAAATTTCTACTTGATCCAGAAAGGGATGACTCAATGCTTCTTCGGCATAAGGTCTATCATCAATCTTATAAGAGATCAACCATGATACAAACTTTTTAGCCTTAGGATCTTCAAGATTGACCAAGTAAATTGGATTTCCAGCCAAAATATTTCTCATACGATCATGCCAAAGACCAAAGGGATGTTCACCTTGGGTTAAAATAAAGAAAGCGATCATTCCTGAAGCATGAATATCAGATTTCTTTTTAAAACGTCCTATCTCGTCCGCATTCCTTGCTTTAATTACTTCAGCGGGCATCCATTCTAGGGTTCCTTTCCCTAATGTATCAACTGTGGTCGAGTCTTCATTTAGAACACGACTTAGTCCAAAGTCTGTCAATCTCATGCGACCTTCATTATCAACCAAGACGTTCAATGGTTTGAGATCTCGGTGCAAAATTCCAAGATCATGGAGACATTTAAGCCCACTTAGGATTTGTTTGATCATTCTTGGACCATACTCTCTCAAGTATTCAATAGTTTTGGATTCAACATGTTCCTTCAATGTTTCTTCACACAGATCAACAATTAAATAAACGAAGGTTGCGTCTTCGAGAAAAGTTCGATAGCTCACTATAAATGGTGACACGACTCGACTCAGGATATTTTTCTCATTTTCAGCTAAATCTTCAGATGCTGGTACCAAAATCCTTTTTACAGCTACTTCACTGCCATCTTCCATGATACCAACATAAACAAATGTGCCCATACAACCTCTTCCGAGCAGATAATCTTTCTTTGCGGAAAAACACTTTAATGTTGATCCAACCTGCGGTAGATTAAATAAACATTATTTACAAATGTTGCAAAACTCGTATGCCGTAGTTTCTTTAAGAATGTCAAAAAAATAATATGTTAGTTTATTTAGTTTATATTAATAGACTGCCTAATAATCAAAAGTAAAACTCTGAAATACCAAATTAAGGTACTTCATATGATTCTTGTTTTACAAACGTCCAGTTGCGCTGCCAGCTCAACAATTGGGGGGGGGGGACGGGGGGCAATATTCATATATTCGTGTTCACAGACCTTAAAAACAATCGATTTCAAAGAAAATTAACAATGCAGAACACGAATATATGAATATGTGCCCCCCAATTATCGAGCTGGCGGCGCCGCAAAATTTTTTTTCCGTGGACAGTCGGACTCCTCATAGATAGTCGGACGCATCATTGACCCGCGCCCTTAAACAATATATTCAGCGGATACTCTTCTTATTAGATGCGCCTTCCCAAAGTTGCGCACGCAATTGAATGGTGATTTCAAAATATTTAATATTGTATTGTTTGGTTGAGATGCCAAAATCCGAGCAGGACACATTGCGGCTTCATATCTTGTACGGTGATGACATCTGACATATTTTATTAAGTAATATTCGCCACTGATTCCCACTTGCTTTTCTTTACTTTTGTAACTGTTTGTAAGTTTAATTGTTTCCGATTCCATAATTCTGAAAAACATTGCAATATCTTCCGTAGCGATTGCAGAATACCCGTCCACTTTTTAAGCTATGCCTTTCAAACATCATGAATACGATGTATTAATACATCTATATTTATTCTCAATAGATTAATAATAAATAGATTGATAGCTCTATATTGTAGTGGATACACGGATACGCAGTCAAGTAGTTATTTTGGGAACGAGGCATACAGTGATCGAGATTAGCATTAGATCAAATTCTCATGCTATACGTAGCTTCTATATTTTAGTGGATACGTAGTCAAGTAATTATTTTGAGATTAAGCGACAGTTAGTTAGCATTAATAGATTAAATTCTCATGCTGCAGAGAGCTTAATTTTAAATGTGATGTAATATGTAAATATGTTCCTCACAACCGGATATTGGTGTTTGACAGATTATGATTAATTAGCGTCGCTGGGAGAAATTTTTTTATATTATAAGGCATACACATTAAAAGTCTTACATGATATTTCCTTTATAATATCAATTCGTAATATTGTCTTAGTAATTAGTTTGTGTATATTAGAACGAGGCAATAAGATCTAGTATATACGTATCCAGTGAAACGTGGCCGGGGTACGTGATATAATATTACTAGTGGACGGATATTCGGCAATACTTCTATTTATGGAAAGTGGTCTTGATGGTCACTTTGTCTTTGAATCTTCCAGTATTTCCTTTCACTCTAGTTATCTTATCCTAACTCTCTTCAACTGAGATGATATATAGTTTTAACTAGCAATAGCAGTTCTGGAGTATTTTCGGAACTAGAAAAACAAAGTTTGTAGATTCACTATGGCATCGCGAAGCAAATTATTCATCTTTCTACACGTGGTCGAAGACGAACAACGTGCAGTGATGGATATATGGTGCACCAGTGGGTTATGCAGGGTATGAAGAGATCCATCGATAATGCGCAAAGGCCTGGACGCGGATCAATGATGCGTCCGACTATCAATGAGGAGTCCGACTGTCTACGGAAAAAAAATTTGCGGCGGCGCCACTGCAAATGTCGTCCGCTCCGTGCTCAGTTTTTTCCGCTAGTCGGTCAGCAGCTAGCTACTACTTATACTGCAAAAAGGATGGGAGTTCTGGATGTTCCCTCTCTCCTTCTGAAGTTTCACCAAATATAAACAGTTGCTGAGTTAATATGCAGCGGTACTAAGTTTTTGGCAGCAAACTGCGAACTTCTGTGCAAAATATTCACAATTTTGACAGAGCCATAGATGAGATCCTTTTTTTCAAGCAAAAGTTGATTATTGTTAGCTTAAGTAGTATTTGTGGTGGTTATGTGGTGGTGGTGGTCAAAACTGAACCTCACAAATAATTTCACAGTAGTGTAGTTATGTATTTATACTTGCATGTTTTATATAGTATAAAGGCCTGTAAAATCAGTATTTACGTTGTCCAGTTTGCAGTCCGTAGTATGTCGTGTTTTAGTGTTAGATGCATGGATGGACTTAGTATGGGATTCTAGTTCTGTTGTCCAATCCTTCAATCATAGCTGTATGTGTATTTTTTATATAATATGATTGTAAAGTTAATAAAAAAAATAAAAAATAAAAAAAAAAAATATATATATAGGTGTTTTAAAATAGTACTTAACACGCTTGTCTTGTTCATTTTATACGCTTAGGGTTTACGATTTTCTGCAATCTATTATCCCTGATTATTTTCTTATAAAGCGCAGACAAATAAACTGTTTGGCTGCTCGTCCCATCAATCGATTTTTCGGGTTTCCGATTGAATTTTTGGACCAATCCCATATTAATCAAAATTTTGATCTCAACAAGTCTAGACAAAATTCCACCACAGCATTGAAAGAGCATCACAAAATTAGTAATATTCCAAAGTTTTGTTGCGAAATGTTGTAAAATGCGGATAATATAGCCTTGCGAAATTTGCAATTTTCAGTCATTTTGTATTACGAGCGAGAAACGGGTACCACTTTTCCAAAATTTTGATCTCAACTAGCCTAAACAAAAATTTCATCACAGCTTGAAAGAGCATCACAAAATTAGTAATATTCCAAAGATTCGTTACGAAATGTTGTAAGATGCAGATAATATAGCCCTGCGAAATTTGTAATTTTCAGTCATTTTGTATTACGCACGGAAGTGGTAACCATTTCCCATTTGTAATACAAAATGACTGAAAATTGCAAATTTTGCAACGCTATATTATCCGCATTTTACAACTTTTCGCAACGAAACTTTGGAATATTGCTAATTCTGCGATGCTCTTTCAAGCTACGATGAAAATTTTGTCCAGACTTGTTAAGTTCCAAATTTTGGTTAATGTGGGAATCCCAGTTCTCGGTTAACCGAATAACCGCATCACCCTATGTGGGATTGGTCCCGATAATTGATGAACTTTAGAATTCCCAGGTGCAATAGCCAGGCGGAAGTGGTACCCTCGGCCTGGGCTTACGCCCGCAAGCGCCGTTGGCTCGGGGGAAATTTAGTTGAAAATGTATTACCTTTGTCAACTTTTCATCACTCAATGCTTTTAATTTCTCAATTTTCTCGCGATGTTTCCTGGACTTGTTTAGTTCCAGATTGAGAATATTCGCGATCTCTTCATTGCCACATAGAAGTTCCACCTCCTTTCGTATATCAACTTTAAACTTCAGAAATGTTTGAACTACAGCAGTATTGCCATCATAGCATGCTTTAACCAAACAACAACGCCCCAAACGATCGGTCTTATGAGTGTCTTTGATTGCACCATGTTGCAGAAGGTAGTCAACTATTAATTCGTTGTCCTTTATACACGCCCAATAAAGAACTGTTTTGTCTCCACGACGTGTTTTTGTTGTAACCTTGGCACCATTCTTGACTAAATATTCGACTATTGCTAGCGAACCTTTTCTAACAGCAAAATGCAAAGCAGTGGCCATACCCTTGCTTTTACAATTTACATCAGCACCATTTTCAACTAAATATTTGACAATTTCCAATGAATCCGACTCAACAGCATAGTGAAGAGCAGTATTATCCCACTCATTTTTAAAATTCACATTCGCACCTTTCTGAATTAAATATTTCACGACGTTTAGTGAACCCTTTCTAGCAGCATAGTGAAGAGGGCTATCATTATCATTGTTTTCACGGTTTACATTTGCACCATGTTCAACTAAATATTCGACAATTTCCAGTGATCCGATTCGAGCAGCCACACTCAAAGCAGTGGCATTACTCTTGCTTTTACAATTAATATCAGCACCATATTCAACTAAATATTTTATCATTTCCAGTGAATTCAGTTCAGCAGCATAGTGAAGAGGACTATCATTGTGATTGCTTTCGAAATTTACTTCCGCGCCAAGTTCAACTAAATATTTCACAACTTCCAATGATTTATAGTGAGCAGCATAGTGAAGAGCAGTTTTATTTTCCACGTTCTTACAATTTATATCAGCGCCATGTTGAAGTAAATATTTGACCATTTCAAGTGAATTCAGTTGGGCAGCAAAGTGAAGAGGACTACCATTGCCATTCTTTTCAAAATTAACATCTGCACCATGTTCAACTAAATATTTGACAATTTCCAATGAATCCTTGAAAGCAGCATAGTGAAGAGCAGTTTTATTGTCCACGTTTTTACAATTTATATCAGCACCTTGTTCAACTAAATATGTGACAATCTCCAGAGAACCAGATGATGCAGCATAATGAAGAACCGCCTTGCCATCATCGTCTTTTTCACTAACCTCAACACCAGATTCAACCAACTGTTTTACTTCCTGAAAATTTCCTGTTTCAGCAGCAGCCAAAATTCCCGACATATTTGTATATCTATATAATAACAGAGGTAACAAGGGAATTGAACGAAGCTTGTCATTTGCCAAGATATACTAGTACGAAGATATTAATGCTTAGATTTTGACATGCAAGAAAATATTTAGGTACGAATTATATGACACAACTAAATATATTAATTTATTACATACAAAAAATGGTTAGGACCTGGTACAAGATATTGCAACATCATTTGTTTAAATTTCAAAGTGGGGTTTTGTTTCTCAAGAATGCTCACTATCTTATCTTAATCTTGACGAGTATTAACGAGAAAAAATTACAAATGTTGAAGAGAAAAATTGGTATATTATGAATTTTTGTATAAAATATGATCACCGCGCGCGAAATTTACGTAAGAATTTTCAGTATTTCGATGGTGACAAACAAAACAGTTGTTTGCCATAAGATATCCAAGCCATAAAGTTTTAATGACAAATAAGTTGGGAAACGAAAATCCGCTCGTCTCGTGTGCGCACTTTTCCATTTTACCGGTCATGCGTGTCCGGTAAGCGATAATATTTGCGGGTCAAACTGTCAAATTTACTGATGAATGGAGTAAAATTATATATATCAGATCCAGATATTCTAAGTATGATGAAGGGTGATCACGTCAAATTTGAAGGACAAATACCAATCCAACATATGTCACCCTCAAATATCCTCCCTGCTTCTCAATAAAAATAATTGAAATAATCGGTCGCATTCCTGAAAGCAACGTAGCCGCAAAAGGTATGAAATGCGCCTCATTTTCAAAGTTGGCACTGTTCAGTGTCCACCCCTATGGCGTAAAACTCAGGTATGTGATAAACCAGGCTATACTACTATCTAATCAATGTACGTAATTGGCAAGTTCGCAACAAACTTGGGAACCGCGCGTTGAAAAGTGACTTGAAATCGACAATAAATCTTGTTGAAGAATGAAAGTAGTGATACA